ATTTTTGTAATATGATTATAAATAATAATATTTCTGATGATGAAATATTTGATGAAGTGTTTTATACATTAGTTTTAGATAGCAACTTTGAGATGCCCATTAATGAGGCCCAAGTAAAAAGACTTTTTAAATATCTTAAACGTCTTACAGCCTTTCATGTTTTGCGTCAAAAGACAATCAAACTTTATGCATACAGACAATTTTTAACATTTCATTTAAATGAAAGCTCCTAGGAGGTGTATTTAACTAATTAAAACAGCTCTGTTTGAGAGAAGAACTATTCTTTACTTTTAGCAAGATACAATTTTTTGTATGTTTTATTGTATTTGGCCTTATCAGTAATTTCTTGATGTTTTAAAGGATTAGAAATGAAATTACATGTGTAAATTAAAATTTTAAAGAAGATAATATTGTCCGGTAGCATTAAATATACAAAAAAAATCAACATATCTTGTTTTTACTAGCTAGTTTTTTTATTTTAATGACATAAATTTTTCAAATTTTGCTTAATATATATCATATTAAATTGGTTGATTTTAGAAATATGTTTTAATATTATTTTTTTGAAAATTTAAAACATGGTATTAAAGATCTTATATACGACAATAATCAGTTAATTTAAATATAGTACAATGTTCTACAGCTATAAATTATATAATAATTTCTGTTTTATAGAAAAATCTTGTAAAAAATGTTATATAAAAATAAGAAGTTTATTATTTAATAAATAAAATTTTTTGTACAATTTTTTTTAATTATAATTTAGCAAGTGTTAGATTAAAAATTCTAGCAAAAAATGTGTATATTTATTTCTTAGTGTTTTTATTTTTTTTCATTATTTTATAGTAGATTATATAACCTTTTTTATATTAAACATTTTGAATTAAAACATGTTTGGTATTACCTAACATTATGTATATTCAGCTAATTATTTTGTTCTTTGTTATAAACTTTTTTTTCTTTCTGTATTCCTTTAAAAAAGCCTAACTATATTTTTTTGTATATTTCTCAAACAAATTAAGAGCACAGTCCTTTTATTGTGCCAATATCCTTATATTTAAAGTTTTACTAAAGTTTATAGAGCTGTAGCTATTAGTATATGGTGAAAAGAAGCTAAGAATACACGAATAAAGCTTATAAGTATGAATGAGACTATACAAAGAACTTGGAGAAATTATAATCTCCCAGTAATGCTGTTTGTTTATAAGTATAAATATAAAAAGATTATAATATGCGTCTCATTAAACAATTATTTGTGAAAAGATGCGTCGTAAACATAAAAAAACATCGAATGGCGCAAAAGTTTAAATTTTTTTCATAGTTTATTAATAAAAAAAATAGACATGAAAAAAATTAATAAAATGTATTGTGTAAGCATCTAAATTTTTTAGTCTATTGAAGCACTTTTATCCAGTTTGTAAAACATAGACACAAATATTAATAAATATAATGTGCACCACCAATAGCTATAAAAGATTAACATTTTAACTAACATACAGAGCACAAGACAATCAAATAAAACTGATGCGCCGCCTTCATTAAATAATGCTTTGCCAGGATCAATAAGTTCATCTATATTTCCATTTTTTTGTATAGTAGGACTACTTAACAAAAAAATATTTGATATTGTTGCTATTTCATTTATAGTTGTCATTCCATATTTCAGTATATCATATCTTTTATTAAAGTATAATAACATTATCATAACTATGTTAAATAATAATGAAAATACTATTATACACTTTCTAATAAAAAAATTTGAATTATAGATTGCTAAATTTAGATCACTACCTCTCATGGGGGCTTTTAAAAATAGTAAAAATTATACATGGGCCAAATTTAGTAAATTAATTATAAATTTGTGACATAAAAGGGGCAAAATATTATTTTGTACTATATTCATAAATCCAAATTTTTACCTTTTCTAACAGAAAAAAAGAGAAAATTATCAAAAAGTCTTATTATGTATAAAAAAAATATCTTATCTAATACTCTTAAATACATTTTTGTAGGAACCATTTTGATTTAATTAGCCAGTAATTTTTAATTTGTTTTTTTTATTAGGATTAAATTTATGTATAAGAAAAAAAATACAATAATACTGGTATAACAAAAATTGTATAAATTGTAAATAAATTGATAAAGACATCTAAATGATTTTTGTGCAAAATGTTTTATTATTTTTGCTACATACTACTCATATTAACGTATCTAAATAAAATTATATCTTATATCTAAAACTCCTGTATTTTTAATTTCATGATGATAATTGTTTTTATTCATGTTTGTGTGTATATTTAATTCTTTACTTATAGTATCTATTAAGTGTTTAGCAGTTTAGTCTAGCAACAACTTCTTTTATGTCGTTGTGGGCATTTTAAAATCAAGTATATTAGTAAAAAAAATAATGCATCTTTTTATCTGAGGCATTTTATTCATTTTTTTCCACTGCTGCCTTAAATAAATTTCAAGTATTTACTAATCCCAGTAATACAATAATGTATTTATATTTTTAGACCGTCTTATCTTTTATTTAAATTTAAACAAGATATTTGTAGTACATATGTTCAAATACAATTTATGTGAATAAGTTCTAAGAAAGTATGAGAAAAAAGAACAAATTTTAAAATAAAAACTGGATGGTATTTAGACAGCAGTATGGCCTAAATTCAAATAAATAAATAGTTTAACTAATTTATCATATAAAGTATGATTAAATAATATTTTA